GAATTTAGAGAATAGAGTGATTATTTTTAGAGAAAATTTGGTACAAGTGATTGTCAGGAAGAGTTAGTGATTTGCGTCCTTTTAATTCTACAGGAATTTGAGAATTATTTGTAACTATATTTTTTAAGTTTTGCAACATTTTATATGCTGATAAAAGATATGGCTCATCACTTTCTAATTGGTATATAAAAATAATAAATAGCTCTAAAAAATCATATAATTTTTTAAGATCTGTTCAAAATTCATAATTCAAAATCATTTCTTTAATATTATTATTTACTTCAATACTATCCTCAGCTAATATAGCATATATTGCAGACTATGCTTACAGAACATAATCAAGATATTCAAAAGATAATATCCACCTGGTATCAACAGTTAGAGTAAGTGCAATTTCAAGATTATACTGTATGGGGTCTTTGCCTTGAAAATCGAATATGGAACATATGATTTACTATGTTCTATAACTTGATTTTCAAGGCAAAGACCCCATATATTTCTTTTTGTAAACAGTGAAGAATAGCTAATGGAATTAAATGATTACAAAAAAATAAAACCAAATCTTTAGTTTTTTTTAAGATTTGTGTAGCCCATTCATTTTTAAGAATATCTTTAATCCAAAGATTAATTCTGTGTGCCCAGTATCTAAGAAAAACTTTATTAGGATATTTTGTTCTTAAAATATTCTATGTAGCTTTCATATTATTTGCATTGTCCGTAATTATACTAACTAACTAAGCAATGGTAAGGTGATTTATTAAGAACATCTTGAATGACTACTTGTAAATCAGTATATTCCTTGTTAAGAAGTGAACTAGAAAGAGTATTGTGTGATAGAATCTTAAAAGAAGAACAAGCCTTTTTAAGAAAAATACAAAAATCTTCATTTTCAATTATGTTGAATGGAATTTCAGAAGTAAAAAAAGCATGGGCAAGTAACGATTCCAATTCGGGTTGATCTTGTTGAGCAAAGTTATCCAAGGCTGGTTGTTTCTGTTTATTTTTAGTACTAGATGATTCAGATGACTCATTTGATGTTAAATTTCTAAAAGCGCAGGTTTTTAAATGTTCTTGCAATCGAGTTGCATTTTTTGCCCATTCTTTTTTACATGCTTTACACTTGTAATGTTCTTTTCCCTTTTCACCTCCCACATTTCAAAGTTTTTATTCTGAACCATTTTTTAATTTATTATAAAATGATGTATTTTACACTTGTTTATAAATAGCTTTTAATGAATTAAGCGAACAATTATTACAATAAATTGAGCGAATGATAATTACATAACTCTGTACTTAGTACCTGGTGTGACAAATATTTTAGAATACTATTTATATTATACGTGGTATTTAATACATGTGACGCTTAATTTTATGATATAAAAATTATGTCAAAATATTGAACGCATCCCCCGGAGTTATTTTAAAAAATTACGTGTGCTCAAAATTACAAATTACATGAAAATCAGCTTACCGTAAACTTACGCAAAATTACATAAAATTACGTAAAATTACGGTAATTTGACAACCCTAATGTCGATATCTATTTATTCAAACTTAGCCGAATTGGCTGAAAAATAATTCAGCTAATTTTTATCAGGTGTTTCAGGAATTATGAAAATAGCGGTAAGATTACAGGTAAGCTAAAGCCGAAAAAATCTCTGCTTTTCGCTTTTACATTCGAAAAATCTTAAAAATCTTGAAGATTTACTTGAATTTTTGTCTCAACCTTACTCGTCTTTTATGTTCGTTCATTTTCTTTTCAGGTTTTTCAGATCCTTTTATACCGTTAATCGGATAACAACTATCAACCGATTGCACCGGGTTAATCGATTAAGAATTTACTCAACCGGTTAACAGAATTTTACTCGGTTCAGGTCGGTTACATATCACGCAATTCTTGAATGTGTGTCAGGTTTGTGCCAGTCAAAATTCTTTAAAGCTCGTTTAGGTTAAGGTTAGGGCTTTTGTTGTGGTTAGAAGTTATGAGGGTATATAGTAAAATTACTCAAGGAAACCCTTTTTGTTAGTGCGCGAAGAGTATTTAATATGCAATTTTTCAAGAAATAAGCAATTTTTGACAAAACGGCCGTTCGTTTGAACTTTCCTTTTCGTGTTACGTTGCACCTGATCTTTTGAAATCTTATTCGTAGTTCAGACAATCTGCGCCACAAACCTGGCACACATTCAAGAATTGCTCATAACACTATTTACTAAACCATACACCACAGTTATTCGTGTTATTCTGTTACAATAATAATTACATTTTTCCTATAAATAGAATGCATTCAAAAAAAAAATAAAAAAATGAGTGTTACATAAATAAAGGAAAAATATAATTTTCCGTAAAAAAAAAAAAAAAATAGAATCAAAGAAATTCTATAATGCATTTTAGAAATGTAACAAGACCTAAAAATAAGATTGTCAGGTTTTGTGAGAGGAAGAGAAATAAGAGAAAATTCGAATGGATGCCACAAGCTCTAGTACGGTTAATTAGTAAAGAGGTATAATCTATACTATATTTAGTGTTCAAGTTATACAGCAAGTGATCACTGAAACTAAACGTTTTGTCTTCTTAGCCCTGTTGTGCACTGTTTACGGAGTGCGGCGCGTACCACCTAATAATGGTAACGATTGATCCATTACTATAAATAGTGTGGCTTTATGCCTAGGCCTAACGCTAAAGAATGCATTGGACCTTATAAAAAATCGATAAATATATATATTAGGCGAGAACAGAGAAAATTCTTTGAAGTATTTTTAACATCATTAACACTTTGAATCTAAACTATTATACATTTTCATTTTATATAATATCAATGTCACATTTTTCTGACGTAAAGATCGATATCCAATACTGTGAATTAAGTGGATTAAATATTATTGATCGTGGAGGATTTGGAATTGTTCATAAAGGAGTGTGGAACAAAGGAAAAAAGGATGAACGAGTAATAGCTGCCAAAATTGTTATACGTGAAGATACTCCGGAATCGACGAGAGATTTTGGTCGAGAGGTTTGTTGATATAGTATATAAAAGTTATGCCCCACATTAACGCTTGCGTCAGATATTGCTTTGGCCTGAGTTATGGTTAGAGTTAAGATCAGGATTAGGCTATCGCTATAATTTAGGCTGATCGATTAATTCTGGTCATATGATCATTACGCGGCTGACATCTGATGCAAGTGTTAATCTGAGGCACAACATATATATAGTAAATAAGCTAATATGACTTATATATTCAGATATATGCCTTAAGACAATCTGTAAGGTGCCAAGAATTTATTGTCCAGTTTTTTGGCCTATCTCGAGGTAAATTTCATTAATATAACTTATAAGTGAACAATATGACGATGGACTGATACATGGAAATTAAATACGGATACATATTTAAAGTAATCCCCGTCAAAATTTCCTTTTGAACCTATAACGAGAATTACTTTGCAATAAAAGTTTATATTCTATAAATCAAGAATGATCAATTCAATTTCGATGATTCTGTGCTTAAACGAATTCTACAGACTGTAGAATTCGTTTAAATCTAAGACAGTAGAGAACAGATCAACTGTTCTCAAAATATAGCTCTTAAACAGCACCAAACATTAAAATAATGCTGAAAGTCAGTGGAAATAAGCAATTGTTTTGCTAATATAATGCCGATATGTCATGAACGACTAATCCATTTTCGATGATTTTGTTTTAAACGAATGCTATGAAAGTTAGCATTCGTTTAAGTTCAAGATTATAAAAAGCGGATTATCCATTTTTGAGGTATCGATGCAATCATTGTCACCACCCATTTTTAATGATTTTGATCTTAAACGGCTCTTGCTATTTATAACATTCGTTAAACAATTTATTATAGAGTACTTATAATATCAACTTTCATTCTAAATGTAGATCCTGAAAATGGGCATTATATTTTTGTAATGCAATATGCCAATAATGGCAATTTACAAAGCTATCTGAAGCAAAATATGCTAAAATTGCATGAGAAGATCATTTTAAATGAAGCTATTCTTAAAGGATTAGAATTTTTGCATAATAATGATATAATACATAGAGATTTGGTGATTACATGATTTTTTTTGTGCCACGCTTTAAACTTTAATAATAAGTAAAATTATTAATAGTAATCGTTTTATTACACTTTTATGAATCATACAGCATTCGAAAAATGTTTTAATTCACAATGGGAAGGCACTGTTGGGTGATTTTGGTCTTTCAAAGCATCTTCTTGAGAAAAATGATGGACACATATCAGTAATTCGAGGTGTTCAAGCTTATGTTGATCCAAAATTGCTTGTAAAGAAAAAATCTAATTCAAATAATACGCACACTGACACGAAGGGGGTCGAATCAAATTCAGATTATACGCATACGAAAAATTCTGATATTTATAGTTTTGGTGTGCTTATGTGGGAAATATACACTTGTCGTTCGCCATTTGACGGTAGAGGTGGTAATGATTTAACTTTGGCTATTTGCTTTGGCGAAAGAGAAAAGCCTGAGAATGGAATGCCTTTAGATTATATAAGTATTTATGAAAAATGTTGGCATTTAATTCCTTCACTTAGGCCTGGAATTCCTAAGATATTGAATGATCTTAGAACTCTTAAACCAAACCCGACTTATCAAGAAGATAATGACGTCCCATCAACAGGTTTGTGACTTTTAAAGTGGATATGAATAGTTGACGTTATTTTTTTGCTTCTAATTTTTTTTTTATAATCAGTTACAGAATCACAATGTAGTTCCAAACGTTCATCTACACAAAGTTATGATGAATCATTTAACCAAATAATTATAGAAGATTGGGATAACAGCCGCACATCATGTCAAAAAACAACCTTGGAAGAACCTGTTAATTTCGACGCATTGTTACAATGTATCAAAGAAGCACAAAAACTTTTTGAAGAGATTAAAATGTCTTATAAAAATGCGCAGCTTAACATAAGAATCTGTGGAGTATTAAATCGATGCATTAACTCAGCTGAATACAATTTAAAAAATCTTGAAGAAGAAAAAAAGAGACCATGTTGCTTTTGCAACATCGGAGAATTATAGACTATTTCAAAAGATCAGGTGCAACGTAACACGAAAAGGAAAGTTCAAACGAACGGCCGTTTTGTCAAAAAT